ATTCAAAAAAGTGACAAATTAAAAAAAAATTACACAAATTCAAAAAAGAAAAAAAAGACAAAAAAATAAAAATATTAACAAACACTAAAGACCTAGCTATAAGGCCACGTCATTCCGATGCCAATTTATAATTTCAATAGTTTGAGAGCTATTCGCGGGATGTTTATTCTCCACCTCGTCGATACTTATTCCTGACTTCGCGATATGTTTATTTATCGCTTCTCACTATTGTCGAGCTTAATTATAAAATCTTGTCATTCCAAGACCATTTTATAAGATTCTGATAGTTTGAGAGCTATCGCTAGATGTTTATTCCCCATCTTGCCAGATATTTATTCTTGGCTTCACGAGATTTTTATTCCTTACTTCTTACGATCGTTGAGTCTAGCTATAAGATCTCATCATTCCGAGACCACTTTATAATACTCCAATAGTTCGAGAGCTATTCGCGGGATGTTTATTCCCCGCCTAGTCAGATGCTTTTCCTTGACTTCGCGAGATGCTTGTCCTCGCTTTTCACTATCGTTAAGCCTAGTTATAAGACCTCACCTATTCGAGGCTAGCATATAAGACATCAAAAGTTCGTGACGAGCTACTAGCTCGATATATTGTATTGTATTATAGGTTGGTTTAGTCCATATTATAGAGGAGATACTGTCGACTTCTTGGCAAATTATATGCGACATCTTTCGAGGCAATCTATAAGACCTCGCTATTCAAGCTCACACAGATATTTTCGAGTTAGTTCATAAGTGCTCATATATTGGAGCAATTTAATTTTCGACACAATTCGTAAGTCCTCGTCTATTTGTGATCGATACATATTTTCGAGGTAGTTCATAAGTCATCGCTTATTGGAGTTACTCGTATTTTTGATGTTATCTATAAGACATTCCTTACTTGACTATTTGTTCTTCGAAGCCCGACCTACATATAAATATACAACACAGACTTGGATGACTATTGTTACGCCCATAAACTACGTGGCATGCTCAAAAAGATAGGGTCTTATATAAGCCGACGTGGCATTGACTATTCAATTGATTGGACCTAGTTTAATTAAACAATTGTATCATGGACTCGGTCCATCAACCACGGGCTCATTTACTTTTTCCTATATATATGTGAGTTTCATTTACAGTAAGGTATGATTTCTAACCTTATCCAAATTCTCTCTCCCTCTCTTTTTCTCTTGTCTGGCCGTTGACTTGATCCTCAGATTGCAAATGGTCGTTAGACTTTTTTCTCGATCAGTGACCTTTGCTTCTTAATGGAGTGTTTCGATGTGCAAGTAATGTCTATGTGGAAGGGAGGTAAAAGAGATTCTGTTGACGCATTTTTTGAGGTCAACATTCCTTTTACAATTTTTTTAATAAAACGTAACTTCTTTCAAGAATGGGCATCATCTTCTCTTCAGCTAGTAGTTATCCAGCTGCCAGTTGGATGGTGGGGGCTGGAAAGATTGAGGAAAAAGAGAAAATGGAAGAGCCAGGAGCATGTCAGAACGGCATTTTCCATTAATTGCTATAACAGATAGAATGGAAACAAATTTTTCTGCCATTTATAGACAAAACATCGATGATGTGTTGTTCACAAATCAACTATTCATTTCATTTATACGGAAAAAATAGTACCATCTCCTATTGTGATATAATATTGGATGCAAGTTGATAGGTTCAAAATTATTTTTGTATCCTCATTTATCACGGTGGATCTATATTTAAATTTTGAACCTATCAACTTATATATATATATATATATATATATTTTTGCATCTCTCCATTGGAGGTTTTCGGTCACTTTGAAAATCTAAATCACAATGTACATTTATTTTACACCACGATTGGAGATGCTCTTATACGTTTTCTCAATGGTCATCAGTTCGAGTCCCCTCAGGACTACTGAGGTGAGTACCTGATCGAAACTTCAGGGCCCCGTAGAATTAGTCGAGGTGCGNATATATATATATATATATTTTTGCATCTCTCCATTGGAGGTTTTCGTTCACTTTGAAAATCTAAATCACAGTGTACATTTATTTTACACCACGATTGGAGATGCTCTTATATATTTTCTCAATGGTAATCAGTTCGAGTCCCTTCAGGACCATTAATGTGAGTACCCGATCGAAAACTTCAGGGCCCCGTTAAATTAGTCGAGGTGCGCGCAAACTGGCCCGAACATCCACAATTATAAAAAAAAAAAAAGGTTAGATTGAATTTGGATTGTAAGGAAAACTAAGATTGTAATATTCACTTTCTCAATTATGTGTGGATTTAAAGTTGTATCCAACGAACATTATGTAGAGAAGACGAACTCTCGGATAACTCATAGAGAAATGTTCAATAGAAATCGAGATTCCTAAGATCTTATTGAGGGTGGCAATCACTTTTATATTCAACTTGAAATTGATTTAATACAATTAATATTGTTTTGGGAAATAATCTAGGAGAAGAAAATTATGGTTATGGTAAAAATTGAACTCTAATGAAATGTTTGAGTATTGCTAGAGATGTCTTGTTTAGTTGTTTAATTTTCGTAAAATCTATTTCAGTTTTATTTAATTCCACATAGATATCATAGGATTATTGTTTCTTGTCACTACCCAAGAATATAATTATGTCCAAATCAAACAAGCCTTTAAATTGTATGGAATCTAACTTTATAAGTTGTCAAAATAAAAATAAAATAAATAAATAAAAAATAAAAATAAAAATACAAAGATATTACGTCAAGAAAATTTGTTCCTTCTGTGTCTTGATTTCACATGAGCCTGGGCCAATTGTACATTCTCATTTTGTCGGATTTCGTTGCTGATTTATACATAGAAAAAGTCTTGATTTCAAGTTTCACATTCACTCAATTACGAAAAATAAGACAAGTAATAAACATTTTATGAAAAATTCGACTCGCATACGAAAAGTCATGTTCAAAATATTTTAGAAATAAATTTTTCCATCTCTAACAAATTAAAATTTATAAATGAGGGTGTTTAACGAAGGCAAAAATCACTACTCAACCGTCAACATGTAATACGACGGATCCATCATCGACATTCATATCTATATGTGGTCCCTATATTGACAATATATGAAAGGCATTTCCTTCCAAATTACAACTGTCTCTTCGTACCACAAAGGTGTCACATGAAAATCGAATATTTTCACATCGGTTAAGGAAGCATTGTCCGTTTATTCTTACCAACCATGGTCCCACATTTTTGTACCAATATTTTCACATAAATATAGGCTAATAAATTACATGATTTCATCTACCACTCAAGGATAAAAAGAGAGGGAGGAACAGGACATGCAATTTTAATGCCAATATTCCGGCCAATGACACATAATGGCTTATTCTCTGTCAAGTGAAGAACAAAACTCATTATAGCACCACAAAATGCTTGAAAGAGACTTGAATTGGATCCCTCTCTACACCCTAACTCTCTTTACAATCTTATCCTTTCCTTGAATCAGCCATGTTCCCAACTTATATTGTCTTTTTGCCTAAAGTCCCTCATTTTTTGATACTAGTTACGAGTTAAGGTCTAATCCCTACATACGGGAAGTAATACAAAATAATAAAAATAGAAAAACAAAAAATACACGCATATATTATAGTGATTGTTCAATCTATTTCCACTTTGCCAATGCAGGTTATCACTGTAATGAAGAAGACGTTATTCACAAACTAAAAATCCGACATGTTAATCTTTTGTTTTATATAGTAAGGTTGTGTTTGGTGCACCATATTACACCGTATAAAGAATTTAGTAAACTTAGAATGAATAGTAGCAGGTAGATGGTATTATGGTGAATTAAGATGTATTACATTTTTTTTTTGTTTTTCATTCAAAAGAATGTCGTTAAATACTATTTATCTTATCGTTTCAAACCCATACCCACCATCTGCATTATGTTACAGTGAAAATGACTTTTTATTTTTTTTTTAACTAAATGATCAGAAAAATTAACCATATTACCATCCTTTACTATTGTCCATTCTAATTTTATACTCTATTCTTTGTACGTTGTACTATGGTGCACCAAATGCAACCTTAGGATGGGTCGACTGGATCGGTTGGGATCATATAGACCCAATATAATTGGATAGAATATCCCAACACAAGATAACTTGCATACTTTTCCAATCACTACTATGCAGTGTATTAAAAGTGCCATTTGTGCTTTAAATAGTTATCAGTTCCAACACCAATAATTAGTCCATCAAAATGGAGAAACCAACGTTGGCAACACATTTCGAGTCCCAATTTTGCTGGTTCGACGATGTCTGCATTCTCGACATGGATCATTTCGTCAAGAGACTCTCCAGCATCAAGGAAAAAGGGGTGAGGCCAGATTTAATTGGTTCAATCATAACACATTATGCTTCCAAATGGCTTCCCGACCTGTCAGACGATGATGGTAAAAAAATGATTGCAAATGTGGAGGAGTCCCCCGAGAGTGTCACCACTTCATGGATGAAGAAAAGGTTCTTTGTTGAAACTCTTGTGGGAATTCTTCCTCCTGAGAAGGAATCCATTCCTTGCAACTTTTTGTTAAGGCTACTACGAGTTGCTAGCATGGTTCGCGTTGAGCCTGCTTATCGTGCTGAGCTTGAAAAGCGCATTTCATGGCAACTCGACCAGGCTTCCTTGAGGGAACTGATGATACCATCATTTAGTCACACTAGTACGACCCTGCTTGATGTTGAGCTTGTTCATCGACTGGTGAGGGGGTTCATGAATTTGGATGAAGCCGTAAGAAGTGGAGCTGCCCTTGTTAAAGTCGCGAAACTTGTAGATTGTTACCTTGCAGAAGCGGCAGTTGATTCCAATTTGACATTCTCTGAATTTGTTGCTCTTGCTAGCGAGGTTCCAGGTCATGCTCGTGCCATGGATGATGGATTGTATCGTGCCATTGACACCTACCTCAAAGTAAGTAATATTGAAAAATATTTCTCTCTTTCCATCACATTTAACACTCACTCTATGTCAATATGTGTTTCAAGAGCCAATCAAGGCTCCAATTTTGAACCTCCCATTTGGTTATTACAAGCCTATTAGTAGATTGGAAATCTCAAGGTTCTTTCTGGTTCACAACTTGGATAGAAATGGACCCTTTTAGTGGGAGGTACAATATTCTATATTCTGTGGCTATGTTAGTTTGTTTACATACATCTTATCCTGACAAAAAGCTACCAAGATGCCTAAACATTGGATTTTATATACGTTGTCCATTCATGTTTGAAGTGGCATGGTCCGCTTTGGTCTGATTTTGAAGAAAACTGAATCAAGAACAAGTGGGAATCATATAAATTGAACCATTGGTTCCATATGTAATTATGAACCAAACAGTTCACTTCCATTTTAAAAACTTAATTTTTAGTTTTTAAATTAGCCTTATGCATCCAAATAGAAATTCAAGCAGCACAATTACCAAAATTTTCTTCCTCATTGATATGTCACTCAGTTTCTGGCTTTCTAAGTCTTAATTGCACCAGCAACTATTATAATTTTCAATTGGAAACAAAACAGTAATTGTTTAAAAAAGGTTAAAAATGAATTTCGGGTTTTTTTCCGTTTTAGATATGGAACCAAGACCCGTTCTTGGTCTTAACTGTTAATAACCAGAATCAAATAAAATATAGGTAGAGCCGACCGAACTAGCCAGTTTGGTTCCGTTCCGATTCAGTCTGGTTCGACAACATAACCCCAGATGAACTCATGAAAATTGAAGGATTCTGTGGAATTAATCAAGATTCATTATTCTGGCAGGCACATCCAGGGGTGTCAAAGAAAGAGAGAAACAGGCTTTGTAAACTAATTGATAGCAGAAAACTGTCATTAGAGGCATCCCTTCATGCAGCTCAAAACGATCGATTGCCCGTTCGCACTGTAGTTCAAGTGCTATTTTCAGAGCAAAATAAGCTCAACAAGCAGATTCTTGATTTCAGTGGCTCTTTCAGTGGCATACTTAGTCCAAACACCGCGCTAGACGCCCCAGCCCGGTGCTTGTCAAAGCGCGAAATAAACGTGCAACAGATGGAAATAAAGAGGTTGAAAGAAGATGTTCTAAGGCTACAGAGCCATTGCATGGCACTGGAAGGAAAGATTGATAAGCTAACGGAGAAAAAGAAAGGATTTCTCGTTTGGAAGAAGTTTGGAATTCCAACACTTAGGGGAAACAAGAATGAAGATGTTGAAAGAGAAGCCGAGGTCGCAATAGGGCTAAAAACTCCGTTGCAGATGAAAACAAGGCTCGTAAAAACTAGAACTCCGAACAAATGGAGGAAATCATTGTCGTGATCGAGCTTGATTGAAGGAAACAAAATTGCTGCTTGACTCTTTGATCTGTGGGAGTGATTTCCATTCTCCGACCCCTACTGTCCAACTTGAGAACAAACATCTCCTTATATACATAGCAGTAAAAGCAAGATGTGCACGTGAATCTGACTTTCGTAATTTTCCATTCAAATAGGATCATAATTTGTATTATACTTTCTATCATATTAATTATGCCATGTACTTTTCCATCAAATAAATTAACATTTCAGGCAAAACTCATCATAGTAATACATGCAAATTTCCACACAGGACCATAGATAGAGGAAATGATCAATACTTATAGACTTGTAGTTGCTATGGATATAATTCCTCTAGATCTTCGGGTAGGTCAAGCAATGAGTTGTAAAAGAGCAGCGAAAACGAAATTCATGTAGCAGACCTCGAGTTTAAGAGTAATTTTGTTCATGTTCTGTGAATATGTGATAACATAAAATCCACATTGCTCAAAGAGCATATCCGTCTTTCAATTTACATTTAGAACCCAGTTAGCATCAAGAGTTTTAAATGAGTATTAAATGAAGGGGCTCTTTGCATTTTCCCCTGCTTGAACTGAACCGCTTGGCAATAAAAGATTCATGCAGTAAGTGTAAATTATTACGAACTAGACCAAAATTATTTGTTGTTGGCCCAACAAAAGGCCATTAGTTTGCTACTGTTGACTCGATAATCCTCATTGCCTTTGGAAATTGAGAGCCTTAATGGAAAATGCAAATATAAAAGCAAAAACAGCGGCAAACCCAACGACAGCCGCTGCAACCTCACCAACAAAATATTTTCGGAATCCAAAATAACTTCTCAGGAACTCTTGAACCGACTGCTTCATGTCAAGCTGATGGTTTACACCTTTATATTGTGATGCAACTAAGCCATATACTTGTTGGAATGGGGATATTTAATCATCACAAAAAGGAAATTAATTTTTCTTTGATGATTCAACCTAAAAGCATGGTGGGTCTTAGATCACCTTGAGATCATATGACATTTTTGTTTAAATCCTAACATGTAAAGGGTGAGATAATAACCTTGAAGGAGCTTTTAATGGCATAGCAAAATGCTTCCTTCCTTAGATCTTCTCTCTTGTGCTCCTTAGGTGCCTCTCGTTCTTTGAGAAAATGGAAAATGACTAAAACCCTAACCTTGGTAAATGTGCCCTTAAAGGGCATATTTATAACACACCATTATGGTTTCATATTTGCACAAATATCTTTGTGTTGTCATACAAAAAGTGTAGCCTAAATCGAGTAGCCCAAGGGATAAGTGATAAGTGTGTTTTTACA